TCCGACGGATAGGAATAGAGGGCAGTAGTGAGAGCACAGTGGACAGAGGGTCGAACTGGGACAGTCAGAGTTGAGTGCGAGAAGAGAGAATGACAAATCATAATAACAGATCAATAAAAGAGCAAAGACCACAGCCATTTCACTATATAACCTCAAAATTTCTCCCTGAGTGTTAATAATAATATCAAAAGATTAAGGTAATATCTAGCTGAGATTCTCTAAAATTAAAAAAAAATAAATTGAATATTTCAGGATATTAAACATTTTAAAAAAAAAATAAATTAAGGAGCGTGGGGGTTGGGGGCAGGACGTGAAACTTTGTGACGTCATCGGGAAAACTTTGCGACGTCATCGGGACAACGACTGGACGTGTGACATTATGGTGTGCGTCGACGTGTCCGCCTTCGCCTGGCAGAATATCTCAGTTATTGTGTTGAGCGTTAGTCGAGGCAGATAGCCTATAAAAGAAAGCTGATAATGTATTCAGGGTATGTAAAAGTCCTACAACTAGATTCAACAAATATGATGATCAGTCTTGTGCCGGAAAATTCTTCCTGTATAAGGAATTAACCTGAAAGGATTTGTGATCAAATGTGGGCCATTGATATAGTTTCTGCATTGGTTGAGGCAGAGGAAACTGCCTCTTTGTTTTAAATGTGCCCATTTGACAAATTTACTTTAAAAAAAAAAAATCTTTGTGAATGATGTGATCACTTATAGGATATTTGCAAAGGTAAACCCCTAGTTCCTTTTTTGATATTTGTGACAATTGTACCGTGAAACACAATAGTTTCTTTTAGATATACCGTGTCATACATCAACTGAAAAAATTGTTTCTTATATTTTCCAGTCAGCATTTTTGAAGATGATAAATTAAGGTCATTTTGAAATAACTGTTGAGTGTCCTAGAGGTGTAAAAGTACTTCTGTTGCAGATAACGTTATGCCAGGTGTGCGTAGAAAATGTATTTCCGGTTAAATTAAAATGTAATACTTTTATTTTGTAAAAGGCCTATCGATAGTACCTATAGTACCTATCGGAAACTTACGTAACCAGCTGCAGCAAAGTCAAGGCCGAATGGGTTCCTGATGCCGGCCCCACCGGGCAAGATGTGCCCGACCCCCGGCCAAATCATACCGGGCCTGCACGGGTACGGGACAGCATTCCCGTTGGGGATCTGAACCTGGAAGCGTGGGTGTGACGTCACTATTAAGAGCAGCGAGGCCAGGCTGAGTAACCTGCGGAATGGAGCAGGAGATGACTCTCGTGAACAAATCAGACCGCTCTACCTAGGAGTTCAAACACAGAATACAGCGTACAACAGGAACTGAATGGCGATTGAGCAAATATAAGAAAGAAATGGTTTTCAGCTTTCATCAAGACTTTTAAATAACTCATCTTATACTAAAGGGCAGGTCGGTCTGAAGGCAAAGCTTCGCTCGGGTGCAGTCTGAAAATGGTGCAACCTGTTCGAATAATTAATAATAAATGATATGGCATTTATATTATATGATATGATATAATATATGTAATATGATATGACGTATATACTATATAGGCAATATATTGGCCATTCGGCACCTCCTTGATGTTGCCACGGGGTCGGCTGACCTATTCAACCCCTTCCCACAGCCCTCCTATATGGTACAACTTAATTTCTTAGAATGGCAGGCTTAATGTCACTTAATGTCACTTAATGGCATTTGGGCTTTTGCGAGTTAATAAGAAAATAAAACACATATTTACATTTTTTAAAGAGAGAGATTTTATGAAATACAAAACTACGATAAAATTTAAAGATCTAGAAGACGCTGGTTGCTAGTCACAATGATGGCGCTGGTTGCTAGCCACAAGGATGATACTGGTTGCTATCCACAAGGATGACGCTGGTTGCTAGCCACAATGATGACGCTGGTTGCTAGCCACAATGATGACGCTGGTTGCTAGCCACAATGATGACGCTGGTTGCTAGCCACAATGATGACACTGGTTGCTAGCCAAATGATGACACTGGTGGCTATCCACAAGGAAGAGACTGTGAAAATCCTTAAAACATTTCTGACCGAAGAAACGGAATTTTGACTCAATGTTTCGCCCCGTATGAGAAGAGATAACTGGACTAGTTCTATTGATGACATTTATAGCAGATAGGGCAGCATTCAAACATATTTGCCACGTTGTATAGAGGAGGAGTTTTTTTTAGGCAATTCATTTTGAACACAATGTGCACAACGTGAATGTGTAAGATCAATGATAGCGTTCGTAATTTTAGAACAAAAATAGACATAGACATTTTTTTGGTGGGAATTCAGCACACGTGGAAGGCAAACATAAACAGCGTAAAACCAAAGTTATAAGGTGAACAATTTTATTGCACAAAACTATTGAACAAATTGGGTTGAAAAATCATTTAGACTGAATAAAGAAAGAAAGATAGAGAGAGAGGAAGAGAAGACGAAAAGTGAGAGAGATGAGAATAGAGAAACATACTGAGGGAGACAGTAAGATAGAGAGAGGGGGGACAGAGAGTGAGAGAGATAGAGACAGAAAGAGATTGAGAGAGTAAAATACTGAGATATAGAGATAGAGATAAAGGGACAGAGTGGGAGAGAGAAATAGAAATTGAATTAGATTAAGAAAGATTAAATGAAGAGACGGAGAGAGAGAGAGTGGGAGAGAGAGAGAGAGAGAGGGGGTGGGGTAAAACAGGTATTCTTCATGTGAGGGGTCAGGAGTTAGTTACCTTTGAAATAAATCGAACATTTTGGAAAGTAAACACCTGAAGCAATTAGCCTAGTCATTGATTTTTAAAAATCAACATGCGCCTGCAACGTCCAATTTATTGAACCAGGCATTAGTGCATCAGTACTAAAGTTTTACATGGCTCCGCAAGGTCCAGTTTATTGAACCAGTACTGAACTTTTAAAGCCCGTTTATAAACTTGAGTAAACTTGTTTGAATTTAGAAAAATGTATGCCGTCCGTTGATTTGTACTGATATGTGAAGGTACATTCATATCCACAGGGCTCAGCTACGGAAGGAATGTGAATTCAAAAGAAATCAACATTCACTTCACAACCAGAGCCCCCTTTGTGTGATTCGAGATAATTAATTTTATGGCGTCTGAGAGTATTCTTTAAATTAACAATATTTAAGTGAAGAATATGGATTTTTGTAAAACCCATTCTCTATGGCCTCTGGTAGATGTGTAGAATTTAAAATTGATTGGTAAAGACTGAGAAGTTTGTGACTTCTTTCAGTGTATTTTTTAAAAACTTTCTCACTATTTTTTTATCCATCCGTCCCCGTGACGCTCAAATTCGGTTTTCGGGTTGTTTATTGTAGCGACCGACCGAAATTGATTTTCTGAGACTGAAATTACACCGAAAGAGATCAAATGGCAACTTTCGGAGCCGAAACCGAAGCCGAGGCCGAAATTCGTTCGATATCTAGTTTACTGTTACAAGTGTCCCACTTGTCTGTTTTTTTTTTTTTGGTATGCCAAACTCCTGCAGAAGCTCATAGAGAACTTTTATATTGATGCTGACGTAGGCCATTTTAGACTCTTACAGAAAGTTGACTTACTGGGATAATATATTCGTAAAATTCGTCTACTAGGTATCTGATGGTGAACATCTGATCAGCTTTCTTTGGGCGTAAAGACTGCTTATCTCCGTGAAAAAGCCAAACACAAACAGCTTTCTTTGGGCGTAAAGACTGCTTATCTCTGTGAAAAAGGCCAAACACAAACAGCTTTCTTTGGGCGTAAAGACTGCTTATCTCTGTGAAAAAGCCAAACACAAACAGCTTTCTTTGGGCGTAAAGATTGCTTATCTCTGTGAAAAAGCCAAACACAAACAGCTTTCTTTGGGCGTAAAGACTGCTTATCTCTGTGAGAAAGCCAAACACAAACAGCTTTCTTTGGGCGTAAAGACTGCTTATCTCTGTGAAAAAGCCAAACACAAACAGCTTTCTTTGGGCGTAAAGACTGCTTATCTCTGTGAAAAAGCCAAACACAAACAGCTTTCTTTGGGCGTAAAGACTGCTTATCTCTGTGAAAAAGCCAAACACAAACAGCTTTCTTTGGGCGTAAAGACTGCTTATCTCTGTGAAAAAGCCAAACACAAACAGCTTTCTTTGGGCGTAAAGACTGCTTATCTCTGTGAAGTAGTTAAAAAAAAATGAGCTGTCTTTTGGTGGTATTTCCACAGAACATACACTTTACCATGTGTGACTTTAGGTCCCCACTTACAAAAAAAAATCATGGCTAAAATTGATGTTTTAAAACATTTGATTAAACTTGTAAATAACGCAATGCTTTGGAAATGAAGCAAAGGTAGTGCTATTAGCAGGGATGTTGCTATTTGAACGTACAAACAGAATCATATCATGCACAATAAATCTCTCCATGCCAGGGGGTAGCTGGCTCATATTCCAAAGTTCATTATTTCCAGGTCATAGGTCAAAGTTCGTTATTTCCATGTTTCAATTTATTTCCTTTTACAGTGCCTACTGGGCGAATATTGAAATTCCCTTTCCATTCTTACTTAATATAACTTCATATAATGAATTCTACATTGAATTGTTTAATCGCGTGCAGTATTAAATCATTGTCTTAAACGTGAAATTTTAAATGAGGATTGATAGTAAGACATTAGAGCAGCGGTTCTCAACCTGTGTGTTGCGACCTCTTTGTGGGTTGAACGACCCATTTCACGGGGACCCCCTGAGCCCACTGGAAAACCAATTTCTGTGAAATGGCTACGAGAATAATTTGATTGTTGGGAGTCACCACAACATGAGTAACTGTATTAGAGGGTCGCGATATTTGAGGAAGTTTGAGAACCACTGCAGTAGAGTATCTTGTCATTTTCATCTAGTTAATTCTGAAAGTCAGCTAAAAACATGAATCTTACATCTTCGGTATGATAACCAACATCTGTCACTGTCCTAGAGTTTAGGTTAAGGGTTGCATGATGTTTGTGTTCTGTTCGATTGACTTACAAGGTTCTCACTTGGGGGCTGTCGTAGTTGTACGCCATCTCATTGGTCAGATTCGTCAAAAAGGAATTGTTTCGGAACAGCTGGATGTTCATCTGTCGGCCTAGAAGAAATAAGACCAGTTCAAGTAATCGCCTTTTTAAAAAAAAAAAGATAAAATTTTAATTAACAAATTGTATATGTTCTCAGGGAAACAAGACCCGGTCCCTTTGTGCTCTCACCAGCGTAATGCATGTGGTTCCAGGCCGAGGTGATGTTGACCGAGTCCTTGAAGTTACTAAGTGTGCATTGCTGTGTACACGTACTCGTGACTGTGATTGACGCCCTCTTGGGGGGCAGCCAAAAGTACTCCCCTCCAATCAGCAGAATCCCAGTGTCGTAAGGTCTCCTGGTTTTAGAGACGATATTGTCAATTATTNTGACGCCCTCTTGGGGGGCAGCCAAAAGTACTCCCCTCCAATCAGCAGAATCCCAGTGTCGTAAGGTCTCCTGGTTTTAGAGACGATATTGTCATTTATTTTTTTCTTTTTTTTTTTTTTTTTGGTGTGTATTTTTAAAAATAATTCTTATTAAAGCGAAGCAGTTTATGGGAAAACCTTAAAAAATGACAACAAAAATACAAACTTGTCGGCAAGAAGCAATCTTCAAAGACCAAACAAAACTAAAATCAATATCAAAATAAATTCTTAGATGCAATATAGCATCTTTCAGAACACTATATTGCTACTCGGTGTTTTATTTTTTATGTTTATAGTTGTGCGTTCGCTGAAGAAGGCTACTTGCCGACACACCCGTCGTGTGTTGCGTATTTATTTCAGTTTCCCCAAACACTTTTTATTTAAATCTGACAACCTCAAGCAAAATATGGCGATATCTATAATTTGGAGTGTGCCGATACCAAAACATGCAATATTCACTAGAGGGCTGGAGATGAAATCCCATCACATATCATATAGGGTATTAATGTGCAAGAAACTAGAATTTATGATAATTTGTGCGTAGCTGATATAAAAATTAAGATATCTAACACAGATTGTAGCTACGTATATGACCAAAAATAAATAAAGATATTAGAAAAACAATTTATATTCATTAATTCCATGGCCTTGACCTTATGTATTCGGTATGCCCTGAAAACGAGTGAGATAAGGGTACTAAAAAAATGTGACATGATTCTCATAATATATTTATGTGATGTCTCATAACTTCTAATCAACGATTCTGGTTGTTAAATCTGTTGACTGAATGCCCAGCATTAGATGTTGCAGAGGAGGAGGCCAGGGCGGCGGCAGAGTCCTACATTACGACAATGTTGCACGGCACAGTCCAGCAGGTTGAGCTTGTTGCCAATGTAATACGACACAGCCCAGCAGATTGAGTTAGTTGCCAATGTTATATGGAACAGCCCAGTAGATGGAGCTGATTGCCAATGTTATATGGCACAGCCCAGCATATTGAGCTGATTGCCAATGTTATATGTCACAGCCCAGCAGATAGACCTGGTTGCCAATGTTATATGACACAGTCCCGCAGATGCACCTGGTTGCAAATGTTATATGGCACAGTCCCGCAGATGGACCTGGTTGCCAATGTTGTATGGCACAGCCCAGCAGATGGACCTGGTTGCCAATGTTATATGACACAGTCCAGCAGATGGACCTGGTTGCCAATGTTATATGGCACAGCCCAGCTAAAGGACCTGGTTGCCAATGTTATATGACACAGTCCAGCAGATGGACCTGGTTGCCAATGTTATATGACACAGTCCAGCAGATGGACCTGGTTGCCAATGTTATATGACACAGTCCAGCAGATGGACCTGGTTGCCAATGTTATATGACACAGCCCAGCAGATGGACCTGGTTGCCAATGTTATATGACACAGTCCAGCAGATGGACCTGGTTGCCAATGTTATATGGCACAGTCCAGCAGATGGACCTGGTTGCCAATGTTATATGACACAGTCCAGCAGATGGACCTGGTTGCCAATGTTATATGACACAGTCCAGCAGATGGACCTGGTTGCCAATGTTATATGACACAGTCCAGCAGATGGACCTGGTTGCCAATGTTATATGGCCCAGTCAAGCAGATGGACCTGGTTGCCAATGTTATATGACACAGTCCAGCAGATGGACCTGGTTGCCAATGTTATATGGCACAGTCCAGCAGATGGACTGGTTGCCAATGTTATATGGCACAGTCCAGCAGATGGACCTGGTTGCCAATGTTACATGACACAGTCCCGCAGATGGACCTGGTTGCCAATGTTATATGGCACAGTCCAGCAGATGGACCTGGTTGCCAATGTTATATGGCTCAGTCCAGCAGATGGACCTTGTTGCCAATGTTATATGGCACAGTCCAGCAGATGGACCTGGTTGCCAATGTTATATGGCACAATCCAGCAGATGGACCTGGTTGCCAAGTCTACGATCCGGGGTTTTAAGAACTTAAGCTCAAGCCCCCCACCCCCCCCCCACACCCCAGGAGAATAGGTGAGTAAGTTAGTTGATAAATGAGGCAACTCACCTCTTGGGTGTGTAGTGTAACTTGACGCCTGAACCATCCGTTAAGTTGTTTGATTTCATCGGGTTGTTCCAATGCAGCTAAAATATTAATGGATCAACATTAAGGATCATTGAAATAAAAATGGATGTGGTTAGATTTTAGGTACAGGAATATTACATATCTGAAAAATATGAAAACAATATCTATCGAGAAATCATATATTTCCACTGATATGTGTTTATTTGGAGTTTAGCGATGGTGTCAACAAAACGATGGTGTCCACAAAGCAATGCTGTCCAAACAGCAATGCTGTTCACAAAGCAATGGTGTCCACAAAGTGATGGTGTCCACAAAGCAATGTTGTCCACAAAGCAATGGTGACCACAAAGCAATGGTGTCCACAAAGTGATGGTGTCCACAAAGCAATGGTGTCAACAAAGCAATGGTGTCCACAAAGCAATGGTGTCCACTATATGATGGTGTCTCAACAACTACCTCAACAAGACAAAAGAGAACCCGTGGCGTATCTAGAGTAAGTGCCAACCTGGATGGATCAATCAGGGGTGTATGTAGGATAAGTGACAACCTGGGCTGGTCAAACAGTAGCGTATTTAGGGTACATGCCAAACCGGGGTAAAAAATCTTCCAAAATCTCTGGACATTCTGTAACTTTCTTGATATCACGATAACATTGAAAGAAAACGGATTGATCACATCTGCCTACTACAAACCAACTGACAGCCATAGTTACCCATTGTACTCATCCTCTCACCCCAAATCATGCAAAGACTCTATACCTTTCTCACTACTTCTTAGACTAAGGTGTCTCTGCCAAATTGATGAGGAATTTCTAGAAAGAGCTGATGAAATGATGGATTTGTTCCGCTCCAGATCCTATCCTGAAACTATTCTTGTCTATGCACTCAATCGTATCAGCAATATATCAAACGGAAAGACACTTTTAAACCTCGCCAAAACAAAAAATGAAGATCGAACCAAGCTTATATTAACCTATCACCCTCACAATTTGACAGCCGTGTCCCTATACACTTCTAACAAAAAATATAAGCCTTCCTAAAGGTACTTTTACAATTTGACAGCCGTGTCCCTATACACTTCTAACAAAAAATATAAGCCTTCCTAAAGGTACTTTTACAATTTGACAGCCGTGTCCCTATACACTTCTAACAAAAAATATAAGCCTTCCTAAAGGTACTTTTACAATTTGACAGCCGTGTCCCTATACACTTCTAACAAAAAATATAAGCCTCCCTAAAGGTACTTTTACAATTTGACAGCCGTGTCCCAATACACTTCTAACAAAAAATATAAGCCTTCCTAAAGGTACTTTTACAATTTGACAGTCGTGTCCATATACACTTCTAACAAAAAATATAAGCCTTTCTAAAGGTACTTTTACAATTTGACAGCCGTGTCCCTATACACTTCTAACAAAAAATATAAGCCTCCCTAAAGGTACTTTTACCATCAAAGAGGGTTTCACTTGTGTTAGTCGTAATATGATATATGTGATTGTGTGCCCTATAAAATATCATTCTAGTTACATAGGCGAAAGAAGAAGATTGGCTGATAGCGTCACAGAACATCTTCAGGATACTGAACAACGTAAACTTTCCCTAGTCTATTGACACATCAACAGAGAACATTATAAAGGTGCATGTGATTTATCCATTATGGCACTAATTTATTGCACAAACACACCAAAGAGAGTGAAAATGGAAAACAAATTTATTCAGCTTTTCGGCACCTTATCTTCACATGTTAATAAATCAATTACTTACTAATGTTTCTCAATTTCCCTATTTTTTTCTTATTCCTTAGAAGTTTTGTATCCCTAAATATTTTGGTCTGTTAAGATTCTCTATATTATTTTCACAGTACCAATAATAATAATAATAATAAAGTTTTTTTGAATGACGCGCTTCATCCCCAAAGGCTCGCAGCGCGGTACAATGTCAAAAAAACAAAACAAAAAACCCTATAATTTACCAATATCTTTATATTCTTCCACTTCCTGTAATTATTCTACTTCCAGCAAAAAAAAGGGGAAATCTCTAAAGTTTTTTTTACTGTGCTCTGTTACTTGTCATACTTCTTTTTGTCTTGTTTGCTGACGAAGGCTCTAAGCCAAAACGTCAAAATCTTTTGTCTTGTTTATGAATTCAAGTTTAACAAACTTTGTTCTTATATTTAATTTGACCAAACAGTGAGATATCTAGGGTAAGTGCTAATCTGGGTATGCCTAGCAATGGCGCATCTAGGGTAAATGCCAACCTTGGAGGTCGAAGCAGGGCCACATCTAGGGTAAGTGCCAACCATTGCTGTTGGCCGATACTCACAAACACACACAAACACACATACATACAAACACACACACACGACCTAGATCATCTTAAATGTATTGCAATGAATAAATTACGTTATTTCTTAGTCCACACGACTAACAAGTACAACAACATTGCCGGACCAACAAGGCGTACCTGGAGTGCGAACCTCTTGTAGCCGTTGACACCGAGCCTGACCCCTGTGCTGGGGTGGAAGCACTCTCCGGCCAGACCAACGGTCCACACGCTCAGGAAGTCCTGGCATGCGCGAGACGCCGTCATCCCGCACTGGAACGGATCACTGCTGTTGGTCTCCAAGGTATCTAGATAATGACAACGTTTCGATAGTTCTTCAAATCTTTTCCCGCTTGTGCAAGGCTAAATGACTTAACTAGCGTCAGTATAGTTAATCGTGATTTACCAAATAATTCCATGGGTTTACCCTAACATATTTGTCCGTAACATGGGGACGAATACTTGTATTTATTAAGTATTGTTTATTATTTATAAAGAAGGTTAAAAAAGTGTGTGTAGCTACACCTAAATATTGATTCTTAATAGTATTTTTTTTTAAAAGGACATTCATTTTTAAAGAAATGGTAGACAGCCCCGGCCCCACTTTCACCTGCCCCCCACTCCCACCTGCCCCCCACTTCCACCTGCCCCAAATTCCAACTCCCTCCACTCCCACCTGCCCCCCACTCCCACCTGCCCCCACTCATGGGGGTAAACTTTTTAGTAACGTATTTAAAAATAAAATGGGCTAAAAAATTTGTAAAGCTTCAGCCAAAGACAGAAATTTTTTCAAGCATCTGGCTTGTTTTCCGTAATTCCGGTCTCCCCCCCCCCCCACCCGTCCTTCCATCCTTCCCACCCTGACACGCCTCTGAAAGTTATCTGTCTTGTCAAATGACAATGTCAGACATTGACCAGAATGAGTTGACGGTTAGAAAAATCAATGACCGTCACATCCAAACAACACCATGTGGTGCAGCACATCCTTGTTGACGATGACAGGCTCCACGGCGATCAGATGGTAGTCGCCTGATGGTACGATGGTATCGTCGTTTCCTGCGCCGGCACGGGCGTGCCCATGGGCAGCTGGAGGGTGAAGTTCTGAGTGTCTGGCCAAGAAACAGAAAGGTTACGATTAGGCCATTAGATAATAAATTAGAAAACTCCACAAGTTTTAGAAAAATTGATGTTTTTTTTTTTCTTTTTAAAAATGAGATTCTCAAGGGGCCGTCCATGCATTAAGGCAGCGGTTCTCAACCTGCGGGTCGCAACCCCTTTGGGGGTCACACGACCCTTTCACAGGGGTCGCCTAAGACCATCTGAAAACACATAGACTATACTGTTATATCGTATCAACGAAAATATTTTTGCTGTTGGGGGTCGCCACAACATTAGAAACTGTTTTAAAGGGTCGCAGAAAGGTTGAGAACCACTGCATTAAGGGGAGGTTGGATTGGAAAAAACCCGTTTTACAATTGTTGACAAGACGGAGTAAGGGGATGAGTCACTGGTAACATTGAGACATAAAAATAAATTAAAACATTGAATAGACCTGACTTGCTTTTCAAGATATATGTGAATTTAGAAGATTCGCAAAATGTCCATTGGTCAGACTAGCATGAATGACATAAGAAATTATCATCTGCTCCTCTACAAACAAAAACAGCCCCACTTGAAAGATTCGATCTATTCGAGGTAGGTTTTCTTTCAGCTATATCCCCCACCCCCCCCCACGGGGAAAGCCAAGTGCCCCCCCCCCCCGGAGCAAAAATATGTCCAACAATAAATCAACTGGAACTGCTGACACTGCCCCCCACCCCCGAAAAATCTGAAGTGCCCCCCTGTGGGGAAATTTCTGAAAGAAACACTGCCTGGAGCTATGGAACACATCTATCATAATAAAATAATTCACAATGTCATTCATAATTACCGACATCTCAACAGTTACAACAAACACCATCAATCTACTACAATAATGATATTAATAATTAAAATTTAGATAATTTCCGTAATGCAAAATAAAATATTACGCACCAAGCGAACATGTATTTATGTATTTATAACATGAAGTTATCGAGAAGTTTAATTTGTGCGGTATTTAACTCACAACCATGGGCGCCCGCAGGTAGGGAGAAAGTAACTAAGCTGATGTCCTGTCCGTTCGTCCACCATACAAATACGCTACAGTAAGTTAAAACTATATTAAAACATTACTAAAAAAANCTTTAATTTGATTCGCTCCGTAAGAATTCGTTTTCCCGACAAATACACTGAACACTAAATCTGAGTTCCTAAAACTGGACTACCAGGACACCGCTCTAAGGATGACAATGTGAGACGTGCGTATATCAAGGGTGCCAAAGTTTGGAGCTTTGATGTCATAAAGCACCAATGTTGGGTAAAGCTTTTCTTTTCTTCAACTCACCTGTGTCGTTAAGTCCGTCACAGACAAAGTCGCCTGGCTTACAAACATCTCGCATCCAGTCGCCTTGGGTTTTGTACAGGGCGTGGTTCATCGGCTTGGATAAGCAGACGGCGAGTCCCAAGGGTCACAGATTCCTGTATGGGGGAAGGGGGGGGGGGCAAACTATACATTAAGTGCATCTATAAACGTTCATATTACGTGATATGTTGTTATTGTTTTAGATGTTGTTATTGTTTTAGATGTTGTCATTGTTTTAGATGTTGTCATTGTTTTAGATGTTGTCATTGTTTTAGATGTTGTTATTGTTTTAGATGTTGTTATTGTTTAGATGTTGTTATTGTTTTAGATGTTGTTATTGTTTTAGATGTTGTTATTGTTTTAGATGTTGTTATTGTTTTAGATTGGACTTTGTTTTACATTTGATTGTTTGTTCTAGATATGATTGTTGTGTTAGATTTGATTGTTGTGTTAAATTTGATTGTTGCGTTAGATTTGATTGTATTGTTAGATTTGATTATTGTGTTAGATTTGATTGTTGTGTTAGATTTGATTGTTGTGTCAGATTAATTGTTGTGTTAAATTTGATTGTTGTGTTAAATTTGATTGTTGTTTTATATTTGATTGTTGTTTTAAATTTGATTGTTATGTTAGTTAGATTTGATTGTTGTGTTTGATTTGATTGCTGTGTTAGATTTGATTGTTGTGTTAGACATGATTGTTGTGTTAGATTTGATTGTTATGTTAGATTTGATTGTTATGTTAGATTTGATTATTGTGTTAGATTTGATTGTTGTGTTAGATTTGAATGCTGTTTGTACGTTACATCTAAATTAATTACTTTGGAACGATTAATATGGGGTCGAAGTAGTTGCACGATGAATTGCAAAGCAATAGCAAATGTAAGTGTATCTGAATTGTGTACTAAGATGTAAGTGTATCTGAATTGTGTACTAAGGTTTAAGTGTATCTGAATTGTGTACTAAGGTGTAAGTGTATCTGAATTATGTAATAAGATGCAATTGTATCTGAATTATGTACTAAATGTAATTTTATCTGAATTATGTACTAAATGTAATTTTATCTGAATTATGTACTAAAATGTAAGTATATCTGAATTTGTACTAAAATGTTATTATCTGAATTCTGCACTAAAGTGTAAGTGTATCTGAATTGTGTACTAATGTGTAAGTGTATCTAAACTGTGTACTAAAACGTAAGTGGACGCGAATTGTGTACTGCCTCTGTAGCGCCACCACCTTACCGAATATTTCGCAATTTATTACCACATCAACAAATACACCCTCGTAACGCTCGAGACAACACTTTGGGAAAATGGTTTTTCCTTGACACGTGTTTATGTACAAGAAATCGCCCGTTTCCCCAACCACCATTTTATCCCATACACTCAGCAGCAATTACAAGACCAGCCGTTTTCCTTTTTAAAATGAATGAAGTTGAAAATCAATACAGGAGTCATTCGCTGTATCAAGAGTGGACTTTCTTACAAGTTTTCTATACGCACGATCACAGGGCCTCTGTATGAAATGATTTGTCCAATTTCTACATTGGTCATAAAATACGCAAGTGTTCTATAGATCATTCAGTGAGTGTTTATATAGTCCAGAATTAACAAAATGACCCGGATTGTATAATTGGGGTGGTCCATCAACACTCATGGAACCATTGCTTAGAGAGGCGGTTCTCATCCTTTTTGATTCGCAGAGGACGGACAGAGTTAATTTTTATGGTGGGGGTTTGGGGGGGGGGGCTTCAGACGCATGGCTTACACATTTGAATTTAATTTTTTTTAATTCCCGGAGTGCTAAGAGTTACAGGCGCTGTAACGTTTTCTAACGATTGCACGCGTTTGTAAAATGTTACAAAATATTATTTACAAAAGGAAAATCTACTAAGGACTGACGTGCGCAACAACATCGCCCCTACGTTTCAGATGGTCCTCTAACCATCAGATCCCAATATTTGTGTTCGGTGGCCACATGTGGTCATTGGCCAATGTAACCTCCAATAAAACATGTATTATATTCTAGGTCAGTCCCCGTGTGTGCAAATTCTAGAATATAGATATTTGACCACGAGATGTTAATCTAGATCTTTCACTTTGTGTACTTAATTCTAAATAATTCACTATCAGTGCGAAGTTCTAAACAATTCTATCGTGTACGCAATATCTGTCCGTCACATAAAAAAGAGATATAATATCGATGTTGTTGTTAGTGCTACTATGTGTACTAGTTGCGTTGTCAGTGCTACTATGTGTACTAGTTGCGTTGTCAGTGCTACTATGTGTACTAGTTGCGTTGTCAGTGCTGCTATGTGTACTAGCTGCGTTGTCAGTGCTACTATGTGTACTAGTTGCGTTGTCAGTGCTACTATGTGTACTAGTTGCGTTGTCGGTGCTACTATGTGTACTAGTTGCGATGTCGGTGCTACTATGTGTACTAGTTGCGTTGTCGGTGCTATTATATGTACTAGTTGCGTTGTCAGCACTACTATGTGTACTAGTTGCGTTGTCAGTGCTAATATGTGTACTAGTTATGTTGTCAGCACTACTATGTGTACTAGTTGCGTTGTCAGTGCTACTATGTGTACTAGTTAAGTAGTAAGTGCTACTATGTGTACTAGTTTAGTTGTTTTCAGTGCTACTGTGTGTACCAGGGTAGTGAACATTCAAAAACCCTTTCATTATATTCTATTTGACAAAACCTATTCATACGTTTTCCTTAACACATTTCTGGGACGTTGAAGGTGTTGTGGTGGTACAGGTTACAGGTTCGTGTGTCTAAAAGCTGGGCCTCACCTTTTAAATACTATAACAAGAAATCTAATTAGGTTAGTGCGTCTGAACCCGAAACAAAGCTGTCAACAAATATAATTCGTATGTACCATTTAGTCATATGATAGCGTGAATCGAAGAATCGCTCAACCAGAAACGTCGAGGTCGATTCTTATCGTGTTTTTATAAGGCTTATTTTCTTTCAACACAACAAATTGTTGTCCCATTTCATTGAGTTGGACTAGGCGTCACAGAGCCCTATGGCTCCGTACAGACGTACTGAAAACGCTTTACATGTTCAACAAAGACTAGTCTGCCGTAAAGAGTGGCTCGTCACATGATATCAATCTCTTATCAACTAGAAGATTTAGACTTAGCAGATAACACAAAAATGTATCCCAAAGGGCAAAATAAACAAATATAAGATAAAGCTAAAGCGCTTGATTTAATTTCCAGACGGATGGGACTTGCAATAAATGAAGACAAAACAAAAGAACTGAGCTGTTATGAGATGGAGATCTCGAGGAGACTTTGCTCATTGTACCCAACTAGGAATAAGTGTGTTTCGTAACGATTTGGGCTCCGATTTTGCTTCACAAAATAGTTTTATTCTTGAAAAAAAGGAACAGTTAAGTAGAAAGAAAAACAAACTAGAATTATTACTAGAATGTTAAATGAGTTCTGAGTTGATGATCAACAAAGAGAGATGGGAAAAAACTGTTAAGTCTTCGTTAAAAATTACCTACGTAGATTCTTTAAGATCAAGTGTGGAGAGAGTGGTTAGCACAAAAACCAGTGGAGCGAGAAATTGAGAAAAGCAAGTGTACATGGACATGTCCGATATAAAATAATAACATATGCCAAATATGACTAAGCATGAACTTGTGCGGGAATCCCAAGGATTCGGACGACCGGAAGGACCCCCAAAAACCACCTGGCGTAGAGAGGTAGAGAGGGATGTAAAAAAGATTGGACAGAGTTTAAAGAAAGAGTTAAAGATGGCGACTTACAAAAATGAGAAGAATGAATAAAACTGTGGCTGTGACGCGGTCTGACGTAAGTGCTGTACCCTGACGAACATACCGGTACAATGATCTTAGGTCTTGACTCCGATAATTTTTAGGATGATCCCTTGAGCATAAACTATTGGTGAAACATTTAGGTTATGTGTCCTTAAAATGGTGACACATTTAAGTTGTGTCCAGAAAATGATGAAACATTTAAGTTGTGTCCAGAAAATGATGAAACATTTAAGTTGTGTCCAGAAAATGGTGACACATTTAAGTTCTGTGTCCATAAAATTTCGACACATTTAAGTTGTGTCCAGAAAATGATGAAACATTTAAGTTCTGTGTCCATAAAATTTCGACACATTTAAGATGTGTCCAGAAAATGATGAAACATTTAAGTTGTGTACAGAAAATGGTGACACATTTAAGTTGTGTCCAGAAAATGATGAAACATTTAAGTTCTGTGTCCATAAAATTTCGACACATTTAAGTTGTGTCCAGAAAATGATGAAACATTTAAGTTCTGTGTCCATAAAATTTCGACACATTTAAGTTGTGTCCAGAAAATAATGAAACATTTAAGTTGTGTCCAGAAAATGGTGACATATTTAAGTTGTGTCCAGAAAATGATGAAACATTTAAGCTCTGTGTCCAGAAAATGGTGACACATTTAAGTTGTGTCCAGAAAATGATGAAACATTTAAGTTCTGTGTCCATAAAATTTCGACACATTTAAGTTGTGTCCAGAAAATGATGAAACATTTAAGTTGTGTCCAGCAAATGATGAAACATTTAAGTTGTGTCCAGAAAATGGTGACACATTTAAATTCGGTGTCCAGAAAGTGCTGGAACATTCCCCAAGTTCTAACAAAGGTGCACACCGTTCGTGAAACACCAACGTGTAAAACGATGCACACCAGAAGTGAGGCTTGCGTTGCCGGAGCCTGGGATTTTGTCGCCAAGTATGGATCATACTTTTTTTGCCACCCTCTTCTATGAAACAACGTTGCAGTTGGTTGATATAAAGAATAAAGAATAAAACATTATATAATTCCTCAGTATTAGTATAAGGTAAAATTTCCACCCAGGCTGGGCCGCGCCCTCCGCACACACTCCCCTCATGTGCCCTTGGAGACGTGGCTTAAATACTGACAACGATCACACAACACTGAGCATTGACCTGGATGGGTAATGTCCGTTGTGCGTTCAGGAGTTGCATTGCTTATCCACACAAAGTTAGGATCGCCGAGCTCTTGGCCATTGCTCATGCCGTCTCCGGCAGAGTCCTTCATGCACAGATCTACTGTCCAAATCTGTCGGAAACAGAGACAATCTTAAAAACAAATAAAGAATAAAACAATACATTTAAGATTTTTTTTAAAGATTTTTTTTATTAACATGAATATATCAGACAAGAATACAGAAGAAAAGAATATAAGACAAGAATACGGAAGAAAAGAATACATCAGAAAAGAATACTTTTGAGTGCAAATTAAGACATGTTTTAAGGAGACTTCTGTATTCTTGTCTTCTGTATTCTTGTCTGATGTATTCTTGTCTAATATATTCTTGTCTGATGTATTCTTGTCTGATGTACTCTTGTCTGATGTATTCTTGTCTAATATATTCTTGTCTGATGTATTCTTGTCTGATGTATTCTTGTCTTATGTATTCTTGTCTTCTGTATTCTTGTCTTCTGTATTCTTGTCTAATTTATTCCTGTCTGATATATTGTTGTCTGATGTATTCTTGTCTGATGTATTCTTGTCTGATGCATTCTTGTCTGATGTATTCTTGTCCGATGCATTCTTGTCTGATGTATTCTTGTCTGATGTATTGTTGTCTTCTGGTTACGCCACAACTTAAAATATCTTCGAACTGTTCTCACTTCTCCCCCTGCCTGAAAGTCTACCCCAAAAGGGTTTCGAACCCCCGTTCCCAAGACGAGGTAGTTTGGGTTTAGGTCTAGGCGATATAGTTGGCTGTCTTGGTTCAGATCTAGGCGATGTAGTTGGCTGTCTCGATTTAAGGCTAGGCGATATAGTTGGCTGTCTGGGTTAAGTCTAGGCGATATATTTGGCGGTCTGGTTTTAGGTCTAGGAAATATATTTGGCTGCCTGTCATAAGGTGTAGGTAATATAGTTGGCTGTCTAGGTTTCAGTCTAGATGATATAGTTGACTGTCTTGGTGTAAGTCTAGGCGATATAGTTGGCTGTCTGGCTTTAGTTACACGCGATATAGTTGGCTGTCTGGGTTTAGGTCTAGGCAATATAGTTTGCTGTCTGGGTTTGGGTCTAGGCAATAAAGTTTGCTGTCTGGATTTAGGTACAGACGATATATTTTGCTGTCTGGGTTTAGGTCTTGGCAATATAGTTGGCTGTCTGGGTTTGGGTCTCGGCGAAAAAGAACAAAAATTGGTATGCCAATGATTTTTAATTATTAAAAAATTTTCTGTCATCATTTATATACATTTTTTTTTTTTTAAATATGAATTTTCAACTTATTGAATGTTTATCCTGTTCGGCCCACAACCTTACATGTGATTTGAGTTTTGGCCCACCGATCGATTGAGCTTGGTACCCAGGCTTTACACCATCTGATGACACCGCGCGCAATTTTGTTCATTTACAAATCGGTGTGCACAGTTATAATCCTACAGAACTTATTTGGCTGGTTGTATAATATAGCGTGGTACTCCAGGCTAGGGCATGACATGTGCCTTAAAAAAATCAGAAGAATAAGATGCAAGGGTTTTTAATGAATCAGTCTGAACATGAATATTCTGATGACATAAATTTTTAATAAATCAACAGAGCTGTGCGATGAGTTATTTGCTGTATTAAGTAGAATAACAAAACAATCACGTCACACGGGTATATTAGAATAGAATTAGGTGGCTTGATTGTTAATTTTTAATGTCTATCTTGCTGATGTAGCAATATAAATTTTTGCTAAAATTCTTAATAACAGTTACGATTGATGACAGAACCTTTTCGAATTTCACACCTATAAACATATATTTTTTTTACATTGTAGCAAGACCGCTTGGTTGATTTAGCTACAGTATCCATGGAAAGATCAAATGCAGAAGACTTTTGATGTTACCTAAATAGTTGAGAAATTTCGCCAATGCCAAAGCGAGAAAATCACATTTTTCTTAAATAAACTCTTAATTAATAAACACTCTCAACCCTTTAATAAATCTTCCACAGCATTTTTTTTCTTCAAATAGCCTACTTATTTTTAAGTACGCTGCGAAAACAAGGAAACCATTTTTGTTGTTAGATGAGCCATTACAACAAAAACTAAGTAAAATCATGCCATAATCAAAATATTAGTTGCAGATTCTCATCAGTGCATGTATACTTTTTTTTAAAAATAGAACAACCAGTTTCTTAAAAATAAAAAATAAAATAGTTTTGAAATAATAATAAGCTTGAACCGCCGCCACTGCTCGGACTTGTTGTAACATTTTCAGAGTTTGGTGGATTTGGGATACAATAGGCCTCTTGTTAAAATGTATGTTTCAAAACACTTTCCTCTAAATGCATGTTTTAAAACATGGCTTGACATGTAAATAGTTTTAAATAAACATTTGCTTTGTTTAATTTATTCAATGTATGTTAATTAAATTTTAGTTTCATGATTATGTGTGTTAAATTGTGTGGTTTATAATATATATATATATATATATATATATAAGAATGAGCAATGCTGACATAACGCCAAAGAACCGAAAAGATTTAAATACATTCGGATTCTTAAAAACGTAGTTATTTTTTTTTATTTTACGGATATTGAATAAATTTAAAAGTGCACAAAATGTTATGAACCCCCCTTCATTTTAGTAAAAGTTTAAATAATATTATTATAAATTACAAATACATTTAACGTAACAACTAAGGAACTATCTTAAGCATTTAGATGTGTTTGAAAGTTATAAAAAAAATATTTAAAAAAAAAAATATGTTTAAAGAATTACACCGTAATCACATTTATCGGGAAAACCCAAACATCAGTTGTGTTCAGTGCTTTTAGTGCGTTGTTAATATAGCGAAATTAAAATTAATTTGCTCTAAATAAACACACAAATGACGTCATAGCGCGAATTGTCTATTTTAGCCAATACTCTTATGTTTCTTTGATTTAATAACCGCGCGTTACAAAACTGATAATTTATTTTCCCATTTTTAAAAGTAAAATTAATAAAAATAACTAGTTGTAGCCCGCCAAACGTTGGTGACGGCAAAGCGTGAACTTCCCATATACTAAAGTCACTTGACCAAACATGAACTCAAGTATCGCACATTTATGAATTCCAATTTGTGCTACCCCCGCTCCCCCCCCCCCAACCAGATGATTCGTCACTGTACACATTTTTTTTCACGCCCATGAACTATATTAAATACTCTGATGACCCAAACACTTTTAAGATGAATATTTTTTTTACACCATATTTAAATTGAGACGATTTTATTTAGCGAAAAATATTACGCACTAAATGAAGTTGCGTTATTAAAAAAATATAAATGACTTAGCGTAGGTATCGGGAATTAAATTTTGCAAGGTAATGAACTCATTATCTATATAATATAGCCTGCGTGGTGGTAACGGTGTTTGACCTTTGCTGGCGAATTATTAAAAACTATATATAGCCCTCCAAACATTGGCGGCAGCAATGCGTGGCAGCAATGCGTGAACTTCCCATCTAGTTAAGTTACTTGACAAAACATGAACTCAAGTAACGCACATTTAAAAGAATCCCAATTTTCGCTTCACCCCTTCCCCCATGAAACGTCAATGTACACTTTTTATTTCACGCCCATGAACTATATTAATATTCTCATGTCCCAACCACTTTTAAACCGAATATTTTTTACACAATAATTAAATTGAGACGATTTCGTTTCCGAAAAGAAAATATTAAGCACGAAATGCAAATGCGTTATTAAAAAAAAATGTTTGTCATACATGGCGTAGTTATCGGGAATTATATTTTGCGCGTTAGTGAACTCATTATATAACCACACTCTGGCATATCTATAAATAGCCTGCGTGGTGTTTTAACCGTGTTGGTGTTTGACCTTTGCTGGCGAATATATATATAGATAATTGATTGCTTTTTAATTGTTAATAAAACACACACAAATTTTAGCTTTGCAATTTTAGCATTTAAAGTTTATACTTTTTTAAAATCCAAAAATTCATTTTTAATAAATTTTTATAACATAAGGAATACTTAACCTTTAAATATAATTCTAATAAGACCATGCCGTTTAATTCAATCAGTGCAGCGAAACTCCATAGCCAAATAGCATTCTCTAATCCAATTATTATAAGTCACCCAAGTAAGAATTAACCATACGAAATGCAATATATTATATTAGTTTGAGTATTGGAGGGACTAAAGTCGGGTGGAAATTGTAGTGATTTTATTTAAATGTTTGTGTTTAGGGGAAGGGGGGGGGGGCGTTGATCATTTTGCCCCAGGCAGCACAAGATAATAAAGGAATGAATTTGAAAAATAATTAACCTTCTTGGGTATATACAAATCGGAGGTAGGAAATAGGATGTGAATATTTGTACGTGGAGACAAAATATTTAAATCATTTGGTATTATATTTGTTAAAAAAGATATGCTACATTCTCTCTTTACAAATAAACATATTATTATGTTTACGAATTAAGAAAACCAACGGCGTTAACAAAGCGTGGGTGCGTTTATATTAATATTCCCATGATGTATATTTCAAATTAAGTTCCTTATATGCATATTTCAAATAACGTTCCTAAAATTATATTTTTTACATCACATTCCTCAAAATGTATGTTTCAAATCACGTTCCTCAAAATGCATGTTTTAAATCACGTTCATAAAAATGTATTTTTCAAATTACGTTCCTCAAAATGTATTTTTCAAATCACGTTCTTCAAAATGTATGTTTCAAATCACGTTCATCAAAATTTATATTTCAAATCACGTTCCTCAAAATGTATGTTTAAAATCACGTTCCTCAAAATGTATGTTTCAAATCACGTTCATCAAAATGTATGTTTCAAATCACGTTCCTCAAAATGTATGTTTCAAATCACGTTCATCAAAATGTATGTTTCAAATCACGTTCATCAAAATGTATGTTTCAAATCACGTTCATCAAAATGTATGTTTCAAATCACGTTCATCAAAATGTATATTTCAAATCACGTTCCTCAAAATGTATGTTTCAAATCACTTTCCTCAAAATGTATGTTTCAAATCACGTTCCTCAAAATGTATATTTCAAATCACGTTCCTCAAAATGTATGTTTCAAATCTCGTTCCTCAAAAGGTATGTTTCAAATCACGTTCCTCAAAAGGTATGTTTCAAATCACGTTCCTCAAAATGTGTTTTTCTTAACATTTAGATGCCATAGTGTTTTTCAATTTAATTTTGACCTTTGAACTACTGATAGTTTTGCTGTATTACAGAGCTGTAAAGGTCTAAGGATTGATAATGTCAAAGGCTTTGGCAAGCAGAGTGCAGTGTACCATCCTTTATACCTCGGAGACAGGCAGATCAGAGAGATTTGCTAAAAGAATGACATTTTCAAACAATCCTTTGCTTCTAAGGTAATAAATAAAATATTTACTAAACATCTGCCAATGTATTGTTAGAAACAATTGATTTCAATATGACATATGAAGACCACAAGGGAAAAAACAGCAGAGTCACATTTTTGTTGTTTTGAGATATTCGATTTTTAAAGTTCAAAACCATGCACATTAAAAATGTGTAAACAAAATGTAATTTTTAAAATGCATTTCACAAGAGTGTCCATTTCCCTGAGTTATTAAGTAGATAAATTAATTCAAACTTGAATGTAACATGATTTATTTCTTTATAGTAGAGAGTGGGGTCAAAATGGACTCTGCCGTTTTTTCCCTTGTAGTAATTTATCAAGGTTTGATCATTGCTAAATATCTATTTAAAACTATTTTATAAGTAAATTTTCACATTAAGGGGTCACTGGCAAATTACGTCACGCTTAGAGGGGGTGGGTTGAGAATATGCGACACATTTTGGGAGGGGGAAAGGGGGGGGGGGTCAAAAATTGTGACGTCACTTTTTTTCATCTCTAAAAGTTTCTAATTCGTAAAAAAAAATCACAATTTAATTGATTTTTAAAACATTAATTTGAGGTCAACTTTGCCTCAGGTATTATAGTATGGTACCATGAAACTCGGTTTTCTAGTAATACTGCATCTTATCATTATAGCAGTGGTTCTCAACCTTCTTAATGCCGCGACCCTTGAATGCAGTTCCTCATGTTGTGGCGACCCTCAACCATAAAATTGTTTTTGTTAGTACTTCATAACTGTAGAGGATATGCATTTGCCGATTGTCTTATGTGACACCTTTAAAGGAGTCATTCGACCCATAAAGGGGTCGCCACCCACAGGTTTAGAACTGCTGCATTATGGGAAAATGTTGAAGAATAAAATAATATCTTAGTTTAGTTATGAAAATTTTATGTATGTTTTGAGTTTTTTTAGGTGATGTGACAAGGGGGGAGGGGGAGAATTTGTGACATTTCGTGACAAGGGGAGGGGGTGTCTAAAAAGTTTATTTTTAACGTGATGTAATTTACGAATGACCCTGCCTTAGGCAAATTATTTTTGTTTAAACTATTAATATAAGAATATGGATCATGCCTATAACTATCATTAAAAAAATATATTATTTAGAATTTAAACTGAAAATCAGATATAAAATCATACTTTCTAAGTTTCTGATGTGCTTCTTACAATTTTGGCCCAATATTAGTTTTTTTCCTCTAGCAGTAGCTGTAACTGTATGAACTTAAGTTTAAGAGTAAAGTCAGTAAAGAGTAACAGACCGAGATAGCAAGACAGACACTCGAAGATAAAGAGTTCAGGGGGAGTCAGACACAGAGTTAGAGCGAAAGGGAGAGAGATATACAAACTAACTGAGATAGACTGACAAGGAGAGACACAGACATGCAACAAAAAGTGATAGACTAGACTTGACTAGTGTTAGAGCGACAGCGAAAGAGACGAGACCATAGACATAGAGATATATTTATAGCTCTGTGGACGAGACGGATACACACATTAATTAACTGAACATAACAAAACAAGGGTAAAATGCGATTTAAAAATACAAATTTTATTTGTGTTAATGTTTTAAGTCCATTTATCGTGCTTATGTTAATTTGTTTTGTTTTCTTGTGGTAGGAAATAAAAAAAATTCAGGTCGGTCTGTTAACTTTTTCGTCGGTTTCTCGGTCAGCTGAGCGAATCGGTCGCCATCTTTAAATTTTGTTTACACTATAGCTATCTCTCATTGGACCTTTAAATCACGTGACTTCAAATGTCACGTGATATTAGTGACTTAGCCCCTTTTTCCATTGTAAACATTGGACTATGCTTCTTTTTCCATTGTAAACGGATTTTTCGTTTCCATTTTTCTTATGGACTTAGCCATTTTTTCTCCTTTAAACTTAATTCAGCACCTTCTATTTTTAATTGGCTATAAGTCAGGGGTGATAACTCAAAAAAATTAAAAATGGGCTCTGCCGTTTTTTCCCTTGAGGTCTTCATATGCTTTAGTTGCATTCTGTTTTCTTCATGATATTGTCTCATCCTTCCTTTAAGCTTTAGAGTGAATTAAGAAAAGTTTAATCTACTTTCACTGTTTGATGTTTGTTTGACAGAGACAGTTGTCCGCCAAGTTGAATGCATGTCATAATTGACAGACAGTTTTCCGGCAAGTTGAATGCATGTCATAAGCGTTTGAATTTTTAAATTTGTACGTGGTGTTTCGATGGAAGAGAGGTAGTCTTGTATGGTGAGTATAGCTCAAACCCTACATTTTAAAAGCAAAAGTAGGGGGTCGTCTTATATGCCCAGTCATCTTATATGCCGGTAAATAAAGTAGTGGAATTTGGACACGACAATGAAATATTTCCAGGTTAAAATGAGATGCTAATACAACTCTTATAGGATGTCAACAGTTGCCAGGTTCTAAACTGCACCTAAATTTCTGTAGAAATTTGGAACTTCTGTTGTAAAGCTTTAACAATCATACTTTCTGTTGTTTTTTTTTTAGCACCCACTTTGTAAGCAATGTATACATTTTGATTATCTATAGTCATTCCTCAGGTAATACATTCCTTTGTGAGTCGTGGAAATTGTCAGCTAAATAAGTCATGAATTAAGGAGTAATAAAGGGTAATAGAATAATGAATTATAGATTTGGACTTTTAGACTAAATACATTTTTTAAAAACAAAACGTAACATTTTTTACACATTTTCATCATTATTTTTTTATTTACTCAGGTGGTATGCATGGAGAATTATCATGCAGGATCACTGGTGCATGAGTCCGTGGTACTGGTTATTACCAGTAGGCCTACCTACGGCAATGGTGAACCACCAGAAAATGGAAAAGTAAATATAAAACATTAACCTTTTTATGTTGTAGGTCTCATCCTTTGAGACTACCATGTAATCAAAAAATTTAGATTAATTTTTAACATTAAAGATTAATTTAAGTGTAAAGTTTATTTACAGGAATCATAAAAGTAATCAAAACACTGAGATTTGGGTATTATGTCATAATTATGTCTCTTTTGAAAAAAAATTTATGTACAGTGCGGTGAGCCTAGCCCTAGGCTGGGGTACCGCGCTATATAAGACGTCTTATTATTATTTATTCTTTACTTGTAAATATTGAAAATTATATTTAAAATGTTAACTGCTTTTTAGAATACATTTTATAGAAATGTTTTAAAAAGTTTACATTATAATTTTTTTTTAAATATCAAACATTGGGTCATAATCAAATTTTTGTCTTTTAGAGTTTTGCTGCTAGTTTGTTGCACTTAAAAAGAAAAAACAACCTGGTAAATGGGTGAGTAGAACTAGGCAATGGTATTGTATAGCGTGGTAATTATATTTGTTTACTTTTTAATAGAAACACTTTGATTCTGGATGTTAACAAAATTAAATACCGGGTACATGTTGCAAGTATCAATACTTTTAACTAATTATTTATGGAAATGGTAATAAAAATAACTAAAAAAATTAAAATTGTTTGTTTGCTATAGGAAGGTAACAGATTCAGGTCTGTCCCTGGCAACATGCATTAAGAGGAGCATTTTCCCTGAACAGAAAATTTCATTAGCTACTAATGTAGACAAGCCAAGAAACTCACTGGCAATGGCAACAGGACCACTTGGCAATATCAGGTAATAAACAAATTATACTAACATTGTCAAGATTTAAAATTTTAACTAGTTTGGTGGAAAAAAGGGGTCATGATATAATTTATGTTGGCCCACTGCAACCAAGCTGATTTTGAAAGATTAACATGTGATAAGCTTTATATAAAAGAAAAAAAAGCAGACATTGTGACGGAGACTTTTGCCAGATGTTAAAATGGAGACATGGAGACTTTTGACAGATGTTAAATGGAGACATAACAGTCATTAAACAAGACAAATTTAAATTGTAGAATTTATTTTAATCCAATTTTTATACAGGTTTGCAGTTTTTTCACTGGGATCCAATGCTTACCCACATTTTGCTATCTTTGGAAAGTACATAGATAAAATATTCAAAGAACTGGGAGCAGAAATGTTGGTTGAATATTGCACAGGCGACGCTTTATATGGCCAGGAGCAGAGCTTCAGGACCTGGTCTGAGGAAGTATATAGAGTTAGTGCATGCTTGTTTTCATATTATGTCTTTACAGAATTTTCATATTCAATAATTTATATGTCTAATATTCTGGTAGTGAATATTTGGGCGTTGTCAAGGGTGTATGATTATCGCGACTGTTGAGTTGGCGTGAAATACTTGCCACACAACAGGCTAGTTTGATTCAATCAACAATAAGCTTCAAGGTACATTTGTCATTTATTTATGGCAGTATTACAAGAGCAATCCGTTTCACAGTTAAATTGCAACATGTATCCAAATGTATGGGCAATATTCCAATCAACAAAACATATATCACCACACATCAATCTCACTCTGCAACTCAAAGATCCAAGTTGCCTGGATCTCAGTGACATAATACTCGGTGAACGTAAGACTGTGACTCATGTGAACTCAAGACTCTACGTAGCTATCACCCAGATCCTCTATATATATCCCTCTCGATCCTCGTCAACAATGGATTGCACACCTCGATCACTCAACATTGTCCAACATTGTGACTTGATAGTTCACATTCACTCACAAGACCCACAATTAAACACCCATGCTAATTTCATGAACTAGACAATGTCAACCTTGTTAAATACTTTGTAAGTAATCTTTTATGTGTACATTTAAATTTTAACTAAACTATTTAGAACTGTAAGAATTTCTCTATTATAACCATTATTTTAAAAAAAAAATTCAATTTTTTGCCATAGGCTGCATTTGATGCTTTCTGCCTCGAAAATGTTGATATAAAGGAGGCAATAGGACCCCGAAACATGGGTGATCATAGCTGGTCACTTGACAAAGTTAGGATTGTGCTTGTGGACAATGGCAAAGAACAAGATTTAAGCCATGGTATTTAGCTTAAATTGGCTTATAGCATATTGTCTAAATGGTGTAAAGATGTTTATTTTGTGTCCTCATTAGAATTGGGAAAATTGCTTAAAACATTGTTAATTGCAAAGTTACTCAAATCATTTTTAAAATTTGTATTCAATATCTGTCTCTTATATCAATTGAGAAATACAAAATATTTATTTACATCAATAAAATGTGTTTTCCATATAGCTCAATCAATTTTTACTTCAGTATTATCCGAAATTCATGGCAAGAAAGTAGAGCCCTTCATTTTGAGTGAAAGAACCCAGCTACAGGCCCAAGATTCAAAGTAAAGAATATTTTCTATTTAACTTTTTAAAATTTAAAAGACAAAAAGGTATTTATCAATGTATTTATCTTATCTGTACATCCAAAATTAGGTAGAGCTAAATCAAAGTTATCTGAATAGAATTTTTTTTAAATTTTATAGATGGTAAATCAAAACAAACCTGATATTCAAAGGAGGGCTTGAGCTTATAAAGGAAAAGTTCTTGGTGAAAAATGTCCAGAGCTGAACTACTTATGGGTGGCACCACCCACACCCAATCACCTGGGCAGCCACCTCTTAAATGTTGCTCCCTATCCAAGTGCAACATTAAAGACTCACTGGCATCGTGATGATTGACAATTGTAACATTGGCTGACTAATAAGAATAGAAATAAAGTAAGACATTTAATCCCCATATTTAAGCCACAGAGATGCAGGCTATACATTAATTGACAAGCTCAAATTTTCTATTTGCATTTTTCATTGATTTTAAAAGTATTATACACTTGTCTTATCATACTATCTTATACATGTCTTACACATACCTTATTTGTCATTCAGTAAGATTAAATACATTTTTTTTTTTACATTACTCGACATTTTGAATGTTTAGAAAGAATATCAGCACAATCAAGAGTTGTTAAATGAAAAAAAACTTCAACCATTTAAAAGAACATCTGTAAAATTGTATTATAAAGACTGTAAAATTATGTATTATATAGACAGCAAAATTGCATTATAAAGACTGTAAAATTGTGTATTATATAGACAGCAAAATTGTATTATAAAGACTGTAAAATTGTGTATTATATAGACAGTAAAATTGTATTATAAAGACAGTAAAATTGTGTATTATATAGACAGTAAAATTGTATTGTAAAGACTGTAAAATTGTGTATTATATAGACAGTAAAATTGTATTATAAAGACTGTAAAATTGTGTATTATATAGACAGTAAAATTGTATTATAAAGACCTACCTGAAAACTGTGGAGAACAGCACGATTAGCGTCCAATAGTGCACGATCTTTCCACAAGGATGAAGCATTTCTGGTGTTTAGCCCCATCTTTAAGGCAATGGTCTAGGTTTAAAAAAGTATACATTTTATTCCACACTTCCTTTTCTAAGTGACCAAAAGACTATTTGTGATGTGATTGTAAAAGTTATTAATTTTATTTATATTATATATTGACATAAATTATTTTTGAAAATTCAGTTCATAGAGGTATACTTTGATATAGTTTTTTAAATTAAGCCAGCTTGATTGAACCAAAACAGAGTCTTTTGTAATGATATCTCTGGCAGAAAATGTGCATTTTCAAATCTTTCAGCCTCTATGGGGGAATAGTATGCCAATAAGTGATTCAGTTTCATCCTCGGTCGTGAGTAATGCCCCTTTGACCATAGATTTTGTAGCAGCTAACAACATTTGCAAAGGTTTCCATTAGAATTGCTCTTGTCACTAAGAGTTGTGGACCATGCAAATATTACAATGTGAAGGGGATAAGGGGATAGTTCATCATTTTGTTTGATAGTGTTAAATGGGGTTGGGGTGGCAGGAAGTAATATGACATCAATTTTTAAATTCATATTTTTTCATTTTCTTCTTTTCAAATTGACGAAATTAGACTTTAAAAAACAAAATTTGGGCTACAATAATTAAAATAATTAGCACATAATTATAACAAAATAATGTAAGGCTTTCTGCTGTTTAATCACGAGGGAGTGAAGCTAGAAATGTTGCATACTAAGGGATGGGGTAATTGTTAGAAATGTATAATATTAAGGGATGGTCGATGATCTTATGTAAAATTTTATTCTTGCATTACCTTTTGTTGTATTGTTTAAAAATTATTGTTCCCAGTTTTCTTGTGTTTTAAACGTGTTTTTAAAAAAAGGTTTAAAAGTAATCTTATCTTTAGACATGTCATGTATTCAAAGGTTAATCATCAGACCCAGTCATTTAACTTGAATATATACTTTTGTTGCAAAATAGTAGGCCAGAAACAATAGTAGTACTTTGTTAAACACACAGGCCAGACACACTAGTAGCATTTGGTTAAGCACACAGGCCAGGCATTATCAGAACATGACATACAAAACGCAGCTGGCCATTTTTGTTGGCTTATTTAGTACTGATGCCTAATTTTCCCACCGGCTAGTCAGCCTTTGCCTAGTACAGTTAGGATGAACAATTCTAAAATATAATTCCAGTTAAAGAGTCTTTAAAATGGAATTTAACACCGTACATACACATCAATTAAGTTTTTTTTTAAAAGATGAGCGACTCTGTTGTACAGGATATTAGGACTAATTGCAGCATTTCATTTTACCTCCAACATGTCATCGCCCCAGCTTTTTCTCATCAACTCACCTCCAGCATGTTGAAACTATGAGAATCGCACAAATCCCTGGAACCAATCTCTGTCCCCATGTACCATCTGTTGAAAGGACACGAGGGGAACTCCAGGCTCCAACAGTCCAACAGCATTCCAGATACAGCTGGTAGGGTGTACCACTTTAGACCAATATCAGAAAACAAGGGATTCCTGGAGGGTAGACAGTGGAAACCAGATCTAAGGAATTGTCCTCTCACCAAATATTGACATTTTACTTTTAACAAATATTATTTATGCCAACAAGGCTTTTTAATTTTTTAAAATATGAAATCTTTCAAGAAAAAATGATTCTTAAATATTTGGAAAATGTTTAAACATAAGCCGTCAGTTGTTTTCAAAATTTTATATAAAAAGTTAGAAACTAATTTTGATAACAGATACCGGTACAAAAAAACTTACTTGAAAGAAAGAAAAAAATTGTTGGGAGATTGACTTCTAAACTATCAATTTTAAGCCTCATGAATCAAGAATGAAATTAAACTTACTCGGGATGCACCAACTTGACCTCTAACACTAGCTCAGGTGGGAGGTCGAAAACTTCAGGATCAAATCCAGCAGCAGACAGAACCAGTGGAAGTAGGTCAAACATACCATACTTTGGTTTCCAACTCATCCTTACACATTGCTAAATATATTTTTAAAAGAGAGAATTAAAAGTTTTCAAAGATACACACCATAAGATAAAACACTATAAATGTTTTGTATCTTGGCCACAAAATAAAGACATCCAATCGTTAAACAGTGCACTCAGAGTGATAAATTATGAGTGACAGATCAAGCCAGCCGTTTTAAGTCAATAAAAAAATTGAACAAGATATGTTTAGGCTTGATCAGAAAAGACAGGACATTTAAATGGGCATTTTGCCTAGATGTCATCTTAAAAGACAGGGCATTTAAATGGGCATTTGACCTAGATGTCATCTTAAAAGACAGGACATTTAAATGGGCATTTGGCCTAGATGTCCTCTTAAAAGACAGGACATTTAAATGGGCATTCGGCCTAGATGTCCTCTTAAAAGACAGAACATTTAAATGGGCATTTGGACTAGATGTCCTCTTAAAAGACAGGACATTTAAATGGGCATTTTGCCTAGATGTCCTCTTAAAAGACAGGACATTTAAATGGGCATTTGGCCTAGATGTCCTCTTAAAAGACAGGACTTTTAAATGGGCATTTGGCCTAGATGTCCTCTTAAAAGTCAGGACATTTAAATGGGCATTTGGCCTAGATGTCCTCTTAAAAGACAGGACATTTAAATGGGCATTTGGCCTAGATGTCCTCTTAAAAGACAGGACATTTAAATGGGCATTTTGCCTAGATGTCCTCTTAAAAGACAGGACATTTAAATGGGCATTTGGCCTAGATGTCCTCTTAAAAGACAGGACATTTAAATGGGCATTTTGCCTAGATGTCCTCTTAAAAGACAGGACATTTAAATGGGCATTCGGCCTAGATGTCCCTTTTAAAGACAGGACATTTAAATGGGCATTTGGCATAGATGTCCTCTTAAAAGACAGGACATTTAAATGGGCATTCGGCCTAGATGTTCTCTTAAAAGACAGGACATTTAAATGGGCATTTTGCCTAGATGTCCTCTTAAAAGACAGGACATTTAAATGGGCATTTGGCCTAGATGTCCTCTTAAAAGACAGGACATTTAAATGGTCATTCGGCTTAGATGTCCTCTTAAAAGACAGGTTATTTAAATGGGCATTTGGCCTAGATGTCATCTTAAAAGACAGGACATTTAAATGGGCATTTTGCCTAGATGTCCTCTTCAGCAAACAACGCAAAACAACAAACAAAAAATTCCTTAAATTAAAAAAAAATTATGTTTTGAAAATGTCAATAATGTCGATGTTCGAGATTTAGATCGGGAAGTGCGCTGTTGTATTTAGAAACAAAAGCTAAGCTATTCAAAAACAAAATGTGAGCCCCACATTCTGTAGTGCGTACTGTCTCAAAATGAGACCTGTTACCAATGAGATGTGATACCAATGTATGTCCTGGAATGTGTTATCAATTTATGTCCTGAGATGTGTTACCAATGTATGTCCTGAGATGTGTTACCATTGTTTGTCCTAAGATGTGTTACCAATGAATGTCTGAGATGCGTTACAAATATGTGTCTTAATGTATGCCTTGACATGTTATAAATAAATTTCTTGAAATGTGTTACCAATATATGTTTTACCAATGTATGCCTTGACTTGTGTTATAAATAAATGTCTTGGAATGTGTTTTTAATTTATGTCTTTACATGTGTTACCAATAAATATGTGTTACCAATACATGTCTTACCAATGCATGTCTTGACATGTGTTATCAATAAATGTCTATAAATGTGTAACCAATGTATGTCTTGACATGTGTTACCAATATTTGTCTTAAAAAAGTGGTACCAATGTATGTCTTGAAATGTGTTACCAATGTATGTCTTGAAGTTTGTTTCCAATCTATGTCTTGAAATGTGCTACCAATGTATGTCTTGAAATGTGTTACCAATGTATGTCTTGTCATGTGCTACCAATGTATGCCTTGACATGTGCTACCAATGTATGCCTTGACATGTGTTAACAATAAATGTCTTGAAATGTGTAACCAATGTATGTCCTGTCATTACATTAACATAGGGCAACAATTTTTTTGAGTCTTACATCAGTAAAGTCCACATTGGCTGGGTCCCCAATAATCTTCCCATCATCCATACTGTAGCCAGCGTAGCCTATCAGCTGGCTATTCAATACACGGAAATCAGGGCGCCCTTCTATGCCTTGTGGAAATATGGTGATTGCAGACCTTAAAGAAGACAACGGCATTCACAGGACAATGGTGACA